GGCGCGGAGTTGACGGCCGCCGCAGGGAAGGGAGACCGGGAGTTTGGTTAAGGACCCCCAACGGCCCACGCGGCTTTTCCTCGAGTCAAGGACGCCGGAGCAACCGGATCTCCTCTTTTGATGGAGGGGCCAGTTTGGCTGAGGAGGGCAATGCAGGGACGGAGTCTGTGACAAAGGCCGCGGGGGTCCTGGTGGGGAAGGTGGGCAAAGGAAGGCACGTGCTGCCAGCATGCCAGGGATGAGAGCTGGCCGAGCATCTGCACCCAGGAGCAGCTGACCTCAGCCTGCAAGAGGTCGTAGAGCTGCCTGCAGCAAGGTGCCCTCCCAGACTTAATCCTTCCACACGGTTACCACAAGAGGAGTTGTCACAAAGTTAGAGGGGGTAGCAAACACCCTAGACAGCAGCATCTACTTTCAGGAGACTCTTGACGAGTGGGAACATGGCTAGAAACCAGCAAGATAAATGTTGACAGGTACGAATACAAACTTTGATAGGCAAAACCGAAAATATGGCTATAGGGTGCTGGGGCGCAGGGGAAGGTACAGGGCAACAGGAGATGTGGAAAGAATCTTGATGAACATGAGCCAGGAGTGTGATGCAGCTGCAAAAAAAGCCAATGCAATCCTTGGCTGGATGGAGAAAAGTCATTGTGCGTCTCTACTCAGCATTGTCAGGCCACACCTAGAATGCTGCATCCAGTTCTGGGCACCACATCTCAGGAAGGGTATTGACAACCTGGAGCCCGTCCAGCGGGGAGCGGCCATGTGATGCAGAGCTTTGAAGGAAAAACTCAGGGGAACGATGGCCTGTGCTTAGCCCAGAGAAGAGAAGACTGTGGGGAGGTGTAACGACCTGCAGCCTCAGTAACTCTCCTTGCAACCAATAATGGTTCAAAAGAAAGTTCATTTACTGAGAACAAGTGTACAGTTCCAAAGCATTGCTAAGACTGAGCCCGCATGTGCCAAAAGTTGCATTTACCTTTTTTTCCCTTCCCCCGTGCACCCCCGCAACTCCCAGACTTCTCACACTCACCCGCTGGTAGACCCTGAGCGTTCTTCTTCAGTCTCTGATAAGAGTCCCTCTGCCTCTGACGGCCATTCGTTCCCAGGTGCCTCCAGTACTCCCCCTCCGTGTCTTCTAACGGCAGCCAGCTGCAAGTGAAGTGGCTAATTCATTGCAGGGATTCTGACAGGAGGCAGGATCGCCACCCCAGCGTCTGCAGGGCTTCACGCAGAAGGAGGGGCAGAAGATAAATCAGAAACAGGCTTCGATCCAAAGGAAGTCGGTTTCAGACGGGCATCAGGAAACAGAAGGCTGGGGAAGCTGCCAATCACTCAACAGGAGCTAAGAGGAGCTGCTCTGGCCGAAGGGAGGCGGGGAGGGGGCGGGGCCGTCAGGCTGGAGGAGGGCTGGGGGACACCCACTCGCACACAGGCACCCCGCGCCCTTGGAAGGGAAGGAGAAGCTCCAGGCCGGGGTCTGTGTTCAGATGCCTCATCTTCGGGGACGCTCGCTCGCTCGCTCGCTCACTCACTCGCTTTCTCTCTGGTTCTGGCCCCTGGGAAACCTCTCGGGGAATCTGCCTCTGTTTTGAAATCCGAAGTTCGTTGCCTTTTGCCGTAAGTAAAGCCTGGTGAGTCCACAGCAGCTCCATCCTGACCCGGGAGCCCCGATCAGGCCCAGCGGATCTGCGCTGCCAAAGTGCCCCAGGAAGACGGAGGTCTGAGATGCTCTGTGGGAATCCCTTCAGCCGCCCGGCCGTCATTCAGCACCCAGCTCAAAGGAAGTTTTCAGACTTGGCATAAAGCTAATTTCTTAAACCACAGGAGCAGTGCAAATGGGGCCCGGGCTGCTGGTCTCTGGCCACACTCCTCAGGCCACTCAGACCAGCAGGAATGCAACCGAGCCGGTTTCCCTTTTCCACTGTTACTCTCCCCATCCTCATCGCCACTGTCAAGATGGGCAGTTTACGGGTGAGTCGAACCTCTTTCATGAGGCAGTGGCAAGGAGGAGGAGTCTGCTCAAGGCCTCTCCTTCTTCCAGGATGGAAGATGGGTGATGACAGCCGGAAAGTACTACGTAACCCATAGCCTGCATCATGCACACAGGCCAGGAGGGAGGCAGGGCTGAATAGTCTGGGAGAGTCGAGACCCCAGGTTAATGGGACGTGGCATTCATTTGGAAGTGGAAAAGGCTAAAATACGAGCCCCCTTCCACTGCCCCAGGGAAGGTCCCGACTCCCAGCACCTCCTTGGGGCTGATTTCCCAGGCACCGATCCTGCCCATTCGCTTCTCGGAGCCCCTTCCCATTTCGCTCAGTCCTTTGAGTCACTAGAACCAGGATGGAGTATGTGGTGTCTGCCAGGAAGCAGAACAAGGCAGAGCGTTGTCTGTTGGGAGCTGGGTTGTTTCCTTGCAAATGCCCCCGACCCTTCTAGGCCTTGGGCATGGGGGGGGAGGGAGGGTCCCAGCTTTTGGTGTGCGCCAGCTTGGCCCGCCGGCCCCAATCAGGTTTATTGTAGTTTGGGGTGCCTGTTTCGGGTTGGACATTTTGTTTCGCCTTGAACTGTTCCCGCCTCCTTTCTTGGTTCTCCTGACCGAGGTGCTGAGGGCTGGTCAAGGGGGGGGGTCTGTTTTTTTTGGGGCTTTGGAGTTTGTAGACTGGGTTTATCTCCCTGGGTCAGCTGGTCTCTCCCACAGCCAGACTTCTCAGACTTCCTTTCAAATGGAGGTCCTTTCCCTAGTCTGTCAGCCTCCTTCTGATGCCTAAAGGGGTCTGTGCCCACTGGCATCCTGCTGACATCTTGCCCTCTGGCTGTTGCCCCTGGACCTTACCAGCACCTTTCCCTGGGACCCCCATTGCAACCTCCATGTCCTCCTCTGCAGGGGTGGTGTTCTAACTTTGCCCCCCCCCAGAGACATCCATCTTAGGTGACCCCCCCAGCTATACCCTGGCTGTGTTACAGATAAGGGGCCTGTGGGAGTGTCTACAGGAGGGGGGGAGTCAAAAAAGTCAACATGGTGGTCGCATCCATGCAATTAAAGCTAACCTGCGGACATGGGAAGCTTGTGAGCTGAAGAAGGCAGAAGCATCTTCATGGTCTCCCCAGCAACTGATGGTCACAGATACAGTCAGGACCAGAAATATTAGAACAAGGATAACTGCTTTGGCATTTGGCCTCCGTACACCACCACATTGAAGTTGAAAGGAAACACACCCAGATGGGAGCGAAGTCAGGACTTTCAGCTGTAATTCAAGAGGTCTGACAAAAGTGGGGCACTAACCATTCAGGAAGTACAGCCAGTGGCGTACACACACCCCCATCATTGGTGGCTCATAAGTAATGGAAGGAATGGCTGACAAGCAGCTGCATGGCCAGGTGCGGCCTCTTTCCTGGGTTGTTGTTGTTCAGTCTTTAAGTCGTGTCCAACTCTTCGTGACCCCATGAACCATATTGCGCCAGGCCTTCCTGTCCT